TTATTACGTATTATAATTTGCCCGGGGAGTATGCTTATTTCATACCTTCGGGTAGCTTTCCTTGGGAACACGGTCCTCATGAGATCGTGATATTCTGGGAGCAGCTCGCTGCGGGGCTGCGATTGCCTTCCTTGTCGAGGTCTTGAATCACTTCGGCGTTATGGTCGGCCAGCTTCACCCGAACTCCATTCGTAATTTGGTGGGGACAATCTCCCTATTTTGCGAACAGGGCTTTCCTTTAGACTTGAAGATCTTCTCTTTCCATCTTAATGCTTAAGAAGCAAGTAGGTCTCCTCCCCGGGCGTAGGCGAGCGTACTACCTGTCTCCTTGCCTGGGTTTTAAGCTTTTACATGAGCTTCCTAATAAGGTCCCGGCGTGGAAGCGGGACTACTTTGGGGTGCGAAGTGTGCTGGGGTGGCTGTTTCAGACTGGGTGGGGGATGGCCACCCCTGAGTCCGGGGTTACGCTTGACAAGGAGACGGCGAAGGGCCTCCGGCAATGGGCGCGGCTTGGGCTAAAGTGCCAATAGTATCTGATAGAGGCCAAGCTCATTGCGGCCGGCCTGAGTTTGGGTAGGTTCCTTACTTAGAGGTTCTATTTTGCTCTGTCTCTTGCTTTCTTATGATGCCAAACTCTTTTTTGCAGGTGTGATGGACTCAGGAGGGACCCGTGGTGGGCACTTGTTTCAAGGCATGAAGAGGAGGAAGCGAGTCACCAAGCAAACTCGTGTCGAGCTGCCCCGGGATGCGGAGCCCGAGGTTCCAGACTACCCGTCAGAGGATCCGCCCAGGGAGCCCGAGATGGCTCCTCCAATGCAAGAAGCGGCAGGGGGCCCGTATGCTGAAACTACTTACACGGGGGCTCCCACTTACTCTGGGTCTGCTTATACGCGAGCTGGGCCCTCGGGCTCGGGGGCCCCAGGGGAATTCAGGAGTGTGTTGTTACCTATCCACGCTCTTCAGAAGAGTAAGGAGGCCATTTTTCCCGAGGAGGTCGCGGCGTGGACTGATCTCCCTCTGCACCAGGTGGCCTGTCGTGCTGTTACTCATGCCATGGTGGTAAGTCAGACTTTTTATTGAGCTCTTCTGCTTTTATCCTTCTTGTTGTCGTTCTTTTAATCACTTGTTCTTTCCTTTTGGTAAGTGAACTCTTCTATTCACGCCTTGGCGGCCCAGGTGGAAAGGAGCTCAAGGCAGGCGCGAGCTACCGAAGAGGCTCTTCGTGCTGCTGAGGCGGCTGCTCGCGTTGCACAGTCCAAGCAGGCGAGGTCTCAGAGAGATGCCGAGGCCAAGGGAGTCATAGTGAAACATATGACGGACTTGAGGCTGGATTTGCAGCATCAGGTCGAATATCTTCAAGAGGACATCAGGGAGAGGACGTAGATCATCTCTCAAGGTATTGAAGATGCCAAGAAGAAGGCCGTCGATGAGTACATCGCCTCACCGGGCTTTGACGACCTGATGGTGGATTCGTACCAAAGGGGTTTCAAGCTAAGCCGATGGATGATCCAGAATACATACCCTGAGCTTGATATCAGTGCCATATCCACTTCGCGCATAAGTCAGGAGATGGCCAATGCTGCAGA